AGGCGCTGTCAGAGAGCACACCGTGAATGGGAGACGAGATCACTCTAGACTGGGGACTCGAGTGCGAGAAAGGCCCAGTGGAGCGAAGAAAACCTGAAGTGTGTTTCACTGCAGCACCGTGCTTCAGTATGGAGGAACCGCACCAGGAGGTCCAGCTCTATCACTGATCACAGAGAAGCGTCGGTGCCGCTCGCGCAGGACGCGTTCTTGCGTTCCAAAAGAGCGAGACGCTGCGTAACGGAACGGAACGGAACGGAGACGCGTTTTAAAAGTCGAACTCCTTTTAACTCGCTACGAAACGCACAACGCTGAAAAATCAGTCTAGCGGGTGTTTACATTAAAATAATACTAATAGGCTACTTAATAAAACAGCGCAGAATGACGCAAGAAGCCGTCCCTTGTGAACGGCATCTTACAATATAACAACGGCTGAGTTATAAAATAATACAGGCTGAAATGTACAGACTGAAATAATTAAACGCGGTTTAAAGCGTCAGCTATTCAGGAGGGTGTTTTGGCCTACCTTTATTCATGTCACGACTGTTTTTAAGAACGCCTAAGAAACACAGGTAGGGCTCAGCAGCAGGTTAACTAACGTAACGTTAAACCAATCGCGTTCAGTTGCAAAAGAAGCAGTTGTGAAATAACGAAAGCCAAAATAATTCGCTGCGTCGACTCATTTACACTGCGCATATTTGAGCTGGAAAATGATAAGGGATTTAAACAGAGGCGACTTACATTGTCAAACAGTGATCCAACGTTTGCAGTCACTAGTAAGACGTCCGTGTGCATCTCCATGATTAGAAGCGAGCTGGAGAAAAGTCTAATCTGACGAAGGAAATCCCACTCGCAGCTTTTTGGTGGAAGAATAACAATTGGTTTACAGATAAGATTAGAAAAGTCTAGCTATCTCGCCCTGAAGACAGAGCCCACGAGAGCGACGCTCGCATCTCCAGTCCTGCTGTCATGAGGAAAGAGCTCCACGGTCTTCAGTTGCTCTGCGGTGAACACGGAGGGATTTCTCCTCCTGTCTTAATGGTAATTGGACTAGGTTTCTAAACTGAATTAAGCCAGTGTCGACGCATCTGCAGCCTCGGGGTTCCTGCCGTGCCAGACTAAACCAAACTAGTTGCGCTGTCAATGTTATGCTCCATGCGAAGCTCCGCCCTACACATGTAGTGAGCTACTGTACAAACGCGCAGCGTCAAAGTTTCCGTGTGTCACTCACACTGAAGCGACGCAAATGTATCTAGGTGTGTGTACTATATATATACACACACACACACACACACTCACTCACACAGTAAAATGCTTCAGCATAGCAATTTAAGTTAGCTAATTTTAATTTCTTAATTTTTAAATATTATTTATCGTGCCATAATGTTTTCATTATTATTTAATATTCTCTTAAAACCTAGCCTGTTTCCAGGTTTAAAAGAGTTGTATTGTAGTTGTTTGTGCATCTGTGGAAAAAAAAATGCATTGGTAATAGGCCTGGGCGATAAAACGGTATCGATATTTATCGACGGTACACCTTCGATAACGATATAAAAAAATTTCGATATAGGCACGTGCTATGAGTGACGCAGACAGCACACACAAACACGAACATGAGTGCTGTGCCTGCCTGTGATGAGGAGATTGTGAGTAAAGAATGAATATTAATCGAATTTAAAATAAACATTTGCATTTGAATGCAAAAATAGTACAATCCAATGTACAATTTTTAGACGGACAAATATGACTGCTGCTCTCACGTCTCACACGAGATGTAGACAGCCATGTAGTGCTGGGCGGTATACCGGTTCATACCGAATACCGGTGTTTATTTTTGTTATATGAATTTTTAAAATACCGCAATACCGGTGTATGTCGCTTAAACAACGTTCGGAACGCGACACTGTTTGGAAGGGGTCAGTTTTCACTGTTGCACTGTGGTGAGGGAACAGCTGTATGTGTTACTAAGCGTGAAAGTTCAGAAACTGAAGCTGTAGAACTAACAGAACCTGATGACAGAAGAACTCACCCACAATATCCACATTGACCGCCACAAATATCCGTTACTTCCTTGCGTTGACAATTTAAATGTGCTGCATTATTTTGCTCATTGTGCCCTCCTGTGGCCTCGGCAGACAAGCCAAAAGTTTAACCTATTTAATCTGCATATAAAACATTAGAAATTAAATATTTGTTTATTTTTTATTTTGTTTTTGACTGTTAAAACAAAAAAATATTTGTTGTTTGTCTCAACAAATTGAGTTAATTTAAAAATACAGTGGCTAAATGTAAAAAAAAAATTCTATTGCTCTTTGTTTTAAAAAAGGTTATAAAAAATGTCAATAATTATTGATACGGAACGATATGAAACATTATATCGTTGATACATTTTTTAGCTATATCACCCAGCCCTAATTGGTAATACTAATGTAATGGCAATAAAATACATTAAAATGGAAATGAAAACTGAGAGCAGGAGCTATTTTGTTCACAGTGGGTGTAAGGTATTACCAAGTAATTCATTAGGCTACTGTAATTAATTTTCCCTTGAAAAAGTAATGTATTTAATATTCTCTTGAAACTTAGACTGTTTTCAGGTTTAAAACGAAACACCATTCCAGATTTGTATTGTAGTTATTTGTGCATGTATGCAAATGCATTGCCAATATGAATGTAATGATAATAAGGCATATTTAAAATGAAAATGAAAATTCAGAGCAGACTGGAGTTATTTTGCTCACGGCGTTGGGTGTAATGCATTACCAAGGAATTCATTACTCTAATTTATTTTCCCTTGAAAAAGTATTGTATTTAATATTCTCTTGAAGACTATTTCCAGGTTTAAATTGAAACATTCCAGATTTGTAGTTATTTGTACATATGTATGCCAATTAATATAACTTTTCCCTTGAAAAAGTGAGGGATTACTTTTTTTGTAATGTAACTAGTTACTTCTGATGTAATTGCATTATACTGGATAGACTATATAGAAAACATTTTTTTAATTTAACATCTAAATTTAAAGTCTAATCTTAAAATCAAGAAAACAAATTCAATTTTATATTATTTTTTTGACAGAGTTAAAAGAGAAGTTTCATGTCTATCTTTGTATTGCTTAACTGGTCGGGTTTGATATAGGATTTAGAAAGTAATTGGTAATAAGTAACGCATGAGAGAGTAATTAGAGCAGTAATCTAATTACACTAGTGAAGATGTCATTTGCAGCTAATTACTTACTTTTTTAGAGTATAACTTACCAAAAACTGTTTGCTCAGTAATGTTAATTTTGATTTACGAATGGGTCAATGTGTGTTCAAAAGTCTGAGACCACATTAAAATATGTTTTTGGAGTTTGGGGATTTTAGGTCTCTAATTCAATGAGTAAATTTGTGACCTGGATCATGTGAACTCTTTTGCTCAAAAGGTCAGATTTCCTCCCACTGAAGCACAAGATGCTCTTTGGATCATTCTCAAATCACACTGGAAAACATTATCATTGGGTTTCACACAAACATAAACTTGTACACAAAACAAATAGACAAACTAAATATTCCTCAGTTCAACTTTTTAGTCAAATTGTTACATTGGTAATATATCTAAAATGTTATGTATTAATATTTTGTTTTATAGCATTATATCGTTATCACTTATTATTAACACATTTTGGGATGTATGTTAAACCGAAACTTAAATGACAACAATGTAAAAAATAATTTCTGGTAAATTACAATATGTGTAATTGTTAAATAATTTTATATGCAGTATTCATGGTATCTTCTGTAATAGCCTATCGTGGCATTTAATAAATAATCCCGCTGGCAAGATTTTACAAAAACCAAAAAGGCACAAATAATGCATGAATGTAGTTTCGGTTCTGTTTTATATATACAACATTCATATTTTATAATTGTATTGACTTTATGTTACACATTATTATGTCCTCTACAATGAATAAATACAACAAACAAAAATGAATTGCTGGGTCTCAGGTTAGAATTCAATAAGTATTATTGTTTAATAACAATGCCATATACATTATGAATGGTATTTACAGTATCTCATCTAATATTTATTGCATCATAGGATTAAAAAAACCCGCCGGCAAGATTTTGTGAAACTAAAATAAAAACAAAAACGGATGAAAGTAGTTTGTTCTGCTTCCGTGCTGTCGTAGCACCACCGATAGATGAACAGATCAGTTGATAATCAAGTTAGTTTGATAGATTTAGAGCTGGTAAAGGTAAGGTAATTGTTTAGAAACTGACGCACATGTTCACATGCCCAGTGTGCTCTGGCAGACACTTAATTGGGGTCAGTTCGTCGTTTTGAATGTTCCTCCAAAACTGATCTGGAGATGTGGAACTGATATTCACCAGATCTAAACACAATGACTGATTATGGCTTTTTTTTAAAGATCCCTAAATATCTAAATTGAATCCTAACATATGAAAACAATTAGCATGCAGTTTGCTAGTGTACTCCGCATGCTGTTTCTTTGTGTTGTGACCCATCCATCAGCTCTTTGGCTGGCTGAAGTCATTGTATTCCCTCTTTTTCTAAAGGCTGTTACCTAAGAGCTGGCACTTTTTAAGAGAAATGTCACCATGAAGGAAAATCTCTGTTTCTCAGGTCTGACTCCAGCCCAGCCGTGGCAGGCTGAATGAATGTTTATAATTCATGTTAAGTGAAAGGACTCTGGCAGAACAACTTGTCCCTATGCCTCGGTTCTCCATTCATACGTCAATGTAGAGTCTAATAACCATGTCCAATTTTACATTTCTTTTTACAGCCTGCTCCACCCCTCAGCAGGCCCAGGACAGGCTTTTATGGGTGGGCCACATCTTTCCTGTGCCTGAGGAGTCAGCTACTGGACCTTGGTTGGCCTCTTTTGTCACATGACCTGGGACAAGATGCTAAAAGGGTGTATTTGAAGTGTATCCTTCAAGAAAAAGCAAAGGATAATAGCAACATAACTGTCATAAACTTGAGACAGTGAATGTTGTGTTGAAGTTATTTTATTTACATTTAATATAGTTGAACATATGACTGTATCACATTGGAAGATTTTTAACTAATATATCAGTCAGTGACGTATAGGTGGATGTGTTGGAAAGGTGCCGTTTTAGAGCGTGGCAGCAGACAAATCACTGGCGACATTGTTATGTCTGATAGACCCCCATTATGTCAAAACATACATCCAAATACTCCCCAAAGAACCTTTCATTGAACAGTTCTTAAAAGAACCTTTTGTGGAATGGAAATGTTTACTGGATGTTAAAGGTTCTTCATGGAACTACTGATTCCAATTGAGAACCTTTATTTTTATTGTAGCAAAGAAAATGTGTGTCATATACACAGTAGCATGGACATGTTGCATATCCTCCTGAGAGCCAGCAAAAATAGTTTTTTTGTTTGTTTCGGAATTTGTAATGTTTTAAATTTTCCAATGACATGAAATGAAAAATAAACAAAAAAAATGTATTGCATGTCTTTTGTTGTTGACATCAGGACCCACTTACATTAAAAATGAAGGCAAGAAGCATGTTTATATTAACATATGTGACCCTGGACCACAAAACCAGTCATAAGTGTCCATTTTTTAAAATTGAGATTTATACATCATCTGAAACCTGAATAAATAAGCTTTCCATTGATGTATGGTTTGTTAGGAAATGACAATATTTGGCCGAGATACAACTATTTGGAAATCTGGAATCTGAGGGTGCAAACAAATCAAAATATTGAGAAAATCGCCTTTAAAGTTGTCCAAATGAAGTTCTTAGCAATGCATATTACTAATCAAAAATTAAGTTTTAATATATTTATGGTAGGAAATTTACAAAATATCTTCATGGAACATGATCTTTACTTAATGTCCAAATGATTTTTGGCATAAAAGAAAAATCAATAATTTTGACTCATACAATGTATTTTTGGCTATTGCTACAAATATACCCCAGCGACTTAAGACTGATTTTGTGCTCCAGGGTCACATATGTTTTGCAACTTGCAATACAAAAAAAAAGTCAATGAAAGTTAATGGAATTTGACAAATTTAGTCATATTTCATAGTCATTTTTATTACCTAATTCACCTGTAAATGTATGAATTTACAAAATGAGTCATGCATTAAAAATTAATTAACAATGTACACATACACAATTTATATTTAATGCAAGGACACTTTAAATGGTTGAAAATTATTAGAAGACATTTTAATGACATTTCAAATAAATACTGTTCTTTTGAACTTTCTCCTGGGAATTGGGAATAAGTGTATCATCATATCAGAATGATTTCTGAAGGATCATAAGACACTGAAGACTGGAGTAATGATGCTGAAAATTCAGCTTTGATCACAGAATAAATTAAAGTTTTTTACTGTAACTTTTGAACAATGGTGGAAGTTTTAAAATAAAACACTACTGTACTACTGCTTTTTTTTTTTTTACCTATAAATAATTTCAATACAATATTTATTTTGCTGAAGTAGATGTGTTTGTGATATCAGACATTTTTAAAAACAATGAGAGGAATTTGTCATGGCCAGATCAGTTTTAAGTCTTCAAGAGGACATGTATAGACTTGACTGTAAACACATGCTATCTACAGATGAACTGCTGGATCCCAGGAGGATACTGAACTGATGATGAACTGCAAAAACACTGCAGAAAGAGCACAAAGTCAGTGAACTGGAATAAGTCCTACATGATTAATGACTCCCTCCACAAGCTGATCTCCAGTTGAACCCCTTCATAAAGCTGAGAACTACATCAGACCTTAAATGAAGGTCTGAGCAACTGTATATGATACATTGTGATCGGTGGCATGTTTATCCAACCTCTCTCTCTGTTTCCACAGAGCCATTTATATGCACTCAGTAACTGGTTTAAAACTGTACAGAGCCATTCCCACGTATTGAGCCCAGCAGCTGAACTGATTCACATGCTGGTATGTAGTCGTGCTATTTCAGTTCACAGCTGAGATCTAAACCTTAATTATATTCAATCTGTTTATTACAGGCTGACTTGTCTTTAAAGTTGTAATTAGTGAAGTACTGCACTGCTTCTGGCCAATTCAATTTCAATTTTTAAGCATGTAGATGAAGTCTAATCATATTTAAATATATACTTTCTTAAATTAAAAATCATTGGGGGAACTCCATCATACAGTACATGCCTCCTTGAGCTGATGGCCAGGCTGTGTAAAAGATGCTGCTCTGACACTACACTAATGAATGATGAATGAATGAGAAAAACTAATAATAACCATCCAAGTTGGTGCAAGTTGACTGCACACACCCATTTAAGGGTTTATATCAAAGGGATAGATCACTTAAAAATGAAAATTTTGTCATTAATTACTCACCCTTAAGGTATTTTTGATGAAATCCGAGAGCTTTCTGACCCTCCACAGACGGTAACGCAACTGACACGTTCGAGGCACAGAAAGTTAGAAAGGACATCGATAAAATAGTCCATGTGACATCAGTGGTTCAACCGTAATTTTATGAAGCTACAAGAATACTTTTTTGTGCAAAAACAAAGTTATTTTGTTATATAATGTTTGTTTAGTTATTTTTGTATTCTTTGCACACAAAAAATATTCTTGTAGCTTCATAAAATTCCGGTTGAACCACTGATGTCATGTAGTAGTTGCGTTGCTGTCTATGGAGGGTCAGAAGGCTCTCACATTCATCAAAAATATCATAATTTGTGTTCTGAAGATGAACGAAGGTCTGACACCATGTCCTAACTACACGCGACATGATGCTGCGACACGCAATAAAAGGTATCTTTTCCATGTTAATCTGAATTTTTATCCTACCGAGCCACAACGGCGGCACGTGAAATTTCTATTTTAGAAACGGTTTCTATTTCCACGACGTCGCGGCCAGAGCAACAACATACAAACTATATGACAGTAGATAACTCTCAGGTGATTATGTACTTTATTCAAAGTTAAACGTGTCTAATGCGAGTTTGAATATCATATTGCGTGGCCTTATAGCCATACTGAAAACAACAACATAGTTTACCTCAGATCTTGAAAATACGATAAGATGTACGTTAAAACAATGTGAACCAATGTGAACCAACAAGCTTATTCCATAAAGATGGTATCAGTCACTCAGTTTGTACATTTAATAATGGTAAAAAGGTTTAATATTTATGAAATCCATTTCATTGCGCTTCCGGAGAGAGCCCGCCCAGGCCCACTTCTGATTGGCTGTGATATTTGATTGATTCTGTCACATCGCGGTGATGCGTCGCGTCTGGTGTGGACACCCAAATTGCTTGTCGCTGGAATCTTGTTGTGTCGCGTGTAGTTAGGACACAGTGTTGCGGGGTTTGGAACAACATGAGGGTGAGTAATTAATGACAGTTTTCATTTTTGGGTGAACTATCCCTTTAAGAATTACACAGTATCATCCTATCCAAACTAGCCTTACATTTGAAGTCAAAAAGCTAACGTTGTTGGCTAAACAAACATCTTGTTTGTCAGTGGTTGTAACCAAACATAGTCTTGAAATGAAAGACCCTTGGTACACATGGGCTGCATCCGTAATCGCATACTTTCTTTACTATATAGTAGGTGAAAAACAGTTTGAGTAGAAATCCGAATTCACAGTATTCATAAAATAGTAGGCGAAAAGTATCCAGATAATGCCATGGGAGAGGATTTGTGAACAACAGTAAGGCAACTGACGTACAAATGATAATGACATGACATATGTAGTACATCTGGATTTCCTTCATACGACACACGTTCATACTATATAAAACACATTTTAGCAGTCACAAATTAATTACTTATTCAAAAGCAGCACCTATTCAGAGAGTATGCGATTTCAGACACAGCATTTCTGTTTCCTGAGCATGTTGTGAAAATACGTTTTGATTCTGCTTCATTATGAGCCCTTTAGTGTTTTAGTTTTAGAGCTAGTTAGTTGCATAGTGTTTCCTGCTCTGATATTCAGGACATTGTGGCACTAATGCTTTATTTGCAGTGACATGGCATTTTTTAATTTGAGGTCTTACACCCTGTTTAAGACTAATGCTCTGTGTAAAAATTCAGAGCGATAAACATTTTAATTTGAACGAATGGCAATTGATGCATCTGTTCAGACCAAAACAAACATAAGCATGTCATAAATGCAATTTACATTTTACATGTAAAACATGGCACCTACTATCAGAGAGTGAATTTTCATGCTCATTCAGCCTGTTTGCATTGGTCTGAAGAGACAAAATCACACAGACAAATCGTCAGACAACTTATTTCATTTAATTGGATCATATTATCATTGACCTCAAAATGATCCTGATAAGTGTGTTGTATGCAGTTTTTGAAATGTTAAAGAGTTTGTTGTGATAAATTGTATTTCATTTTAAAATAATAATAAAATGTTACTTTATCTAAAAAAAATCCTAGGAAACACTGGTTGCATATATACAGTACATGCTGCTTAGTGTTGTTTGAACATCACAAGTAATGGTTTTAATTTGAATGTGTGCAGTACCTGAACAACACTTCATAGAGTTTTCAATTGGCCATCACTTGGCCAATGTCATTAAGACTCTTATGATTTGACTCCCAGATGGAAATGGAAATGGAAAAGAGTCTTTCACACAAGGACGAGAAAAAAAAATAAAAATAATATATAACAAATTCTTCTCAAACCCTTCACACAGGTTTGATTGTTTATCCAGAGGTATTTTGAAAAGTTAATGCAGATTATTCATCTGCAAAGGTCAGTATAAGCTTGATGTCCTCAAAATAAATAGCAAGATTTTCATGCATATTTCTGCTTTAATCCAGGATTAAAGTGATTCACGCAGCAGAAGTATAGCAGAGAGATGGAAATGCTTTCGGACACCTACGTGCAGCCTGATGAGGCGTTTCCATCAACCATACATGGCAGGGTTTCTGCAGACATGAACAAGTTAAATTTACATTCTGAATGTATTTTAATAGACTGAATCATGCAGTGATCAGGCAGAGCACACTCTAAATGCGCATGCGCACTAGACTTCACGTAATGCGTGCACTCTGTAGGTGTTTTCAATGTTTTTTTTGCGTCGTGAGAATATTGAGCAAAATAGCTCACTTGTCATGGTGTTATTTAACTATATCATGTTATGAATAAACTAAACATTGTGAATTTTTACCTCAGTGTGTTTCTTCTGAGTTTATGTGTGCGGTCACGCTAATTTGTTCTGAAGTCTCGAGACAAACAGAGTGAGCCTCAGCGCGAGCTTGTATTCTGTATTCTGCTAACTTACTGCAAATCTCTCTGATGACGCAGTAACTTACCGCGGGTTTCTTCGGTCTGTCCAATGATTGTAAAGTCATTAGCTCCTTCAGACTTAAGATATTTGAGCCGTAATGAGACCAAAAATATTTAAGACCCATCGAATCCGAATTTAAGACATTTGAAGACTTTTTAAGGCCTTATATTAGGAAAACGTTATTTAAGACATTTTAAGACTTTTTAAGGACCCGCGGACACCCTGCATGGCCATCAAATTTAAAAGTTTACTGCGTCCTAATGACACGTTAAGAGCAAATGATAATAAAAGAAAAAGAAACCATAACAAATGAAAAAAAAACAACAAAACAGAGAAAGAAACCATTAAACTGCTGTATTGCATCCTTATGACTCCTCATGGGTAACTTGGCCACTACAGACTGAATCACGCTACACTGACTTCGGTTAAAGGAACATTACGCATCAAAACACGTCTCGTGGTGCTTTGATCACGATCTGACCAAACACTGGACACGCTTTGGTCCTTTTATAAAGATGAACAATTAAACAAGGACAGTTCTTGCTATGTGATGTAAAACAAAAGCAGAACATCGTTGTCCAGGTGTCAGAACCGTATCTTGGCCTCCAGGTCCTCACCTGATTCATCTTCCTCTCCTCAAGAACGACTGCGGTTCTCTTGCGTTCCAACCAAAATCTTGCTGTAGAGTTTTTGTTGCTCCTCTTTGAAAGTGTCTTTCACTTTTCCTCGTTTCAACCCACCGTCCCTGAAAAAAAAACACAAATCCAGTTTCTTTTACCAAAAGAAAGGCCATTTACCTACTGAGAAAACCAGCTTTGATATGCCTAAGCTGGTTTACTGATCTCCCAGTCTGGTCAAAACCATGTTGGCTGGTTTTAGAGGGGTTTTGGGCAGCTGTCAGCTAGCCAGGCTGGTAGATCAGCTTAAACCAGCTAAGCCCAGACATTTTCTGGTTTAACAGACAGTTGTCACTTATCTCTCAATCTACAGCTTATATTAGTGTTTTTATTACTTTTCTTTGGCCTCAACATTAGTGTTTACACTGTAAAAATGAGCATAATTTTAATGGCAAAAGACTTGAAAATTGCTATGGTAAAAACCTGTTAATTGGACATTAAACATTAAATTCTCTTACTGTACACGGTGAAAAACTGTAATAAATCTAATGGGACGTTTCACAGTATTTTACTATAAAATTAACAGCTTCTGGATGTAAAAAAGAACAAGCAATGCTATAAAAAAACTAAATTCCCTGTTTATGTTTTTTAACTGAAATTACTATGTTTTTACTTATCAGATATATACATTAGGGTTCATCTAATGTTGGTAAAGTAATGTTATGTGTGTTACCATAATGGTGTTTTGTATTTGTATGAACGACACTGTGCACCTTCTATATATTAGTATTTACTTCAGCTTGTGAAAAAGCTACTTGTGATGAGCTTTGATTCATCATGTGGCTTTCTCTATACCACCTGTGTTTTATGGTGGTTATAAATGTATTATAAAGGTACAAAACAGATTTCAGCACAGGCTGTTAAATTAACTTCTTCCCCGCCAGCATTTTTTTTTCCCAGCCACCGCGAGCATTTTTGATAATTTTCATAAAAGTTTAATTCCCCCCATAATATTTTGTTGTATGAATATCTGAACAAACAAAAAAAAAAAAACGTTTTATTCTAGGTTCATGCACTCTTTTTTTTTTTATTAACACTTGAATGTGGGTAAGTTTCATGAAAAAAAGCATCATTTTGAACAAAAAGCTGAAAAAATGCTTTTTTTAAAAAGGCTATGTCCGGATCAGATTCAGAACGATGATCAAAACATAGATGGAACAGATCGCTTCCATCAACACATCCAAAGCTTGCACAGTCCTAAACCACTTCCTGGATCATCATTTCATTCGGTATTGTTTGGCAGTTTTGATATATATGCTGTTTAATGTTCTTGTTATTTTACATATGCATCTGCTTACAAATGCTTTTTTCTGCTTCTTCTTCGCCTTGTTTTAATCCAGACATTTAATCCAGTAGTCTTTCAGAAGGTGCGTAATAGCACCTCCTACCGAAAGCCATAAAATTTCGTCAATGGCGGGGAAAGAGTTAACATTATATAATTATATGAAATGGGTGTTTTTTGTTGTTGTTTTTTACTGTAAATGTAAATTCAGTACGTAAAACCTAAAATGTTGCTACCATATTTTTGAAGGAAAAGCTCTGGCAACCACAGCTGCCCTTTTTTACCGTAAATTTTACAGATCCTTTTTTTTTTTTATACAATAGTACAAGCACAGCTGCTGAGTCAGATATGACAGCTGACTTACCACAGCAGGTCCACCAGACCACCCTGTCTGGCAATGGCTGCCTTTACTCTGTTAGCAAACTGCACTGCATCCTCACCTTCCTGCAAGGAGACAAAACAGACCTTGACAAAAAAAAACCTTGACCTTTGGTTTTAAAATTTATTAGGTGTCTAAAATGTATTTTTATACTTATTTTCAGCATTTTCAGTTAACAGCATGTTTATTTCTAACTGAAGAAACAGATCTTATTTTTCTGAAATAGTAAAACAAACTACAAATGCATAAAGGAAGGACTTCCAACATTATTCCAGTGATTTTCCAGAGAACTTTTGTAACATTCAAGGTGGGGCGGATCACACCAGCACAATGATTTACCTATGCTTTTTTCGGGATGGTAGGCTTTTAGATGCGTTAAAAACAATGGTCTATTTGTTTATTTGCATGCCCACATGCAAACACAGATGTCCATTTCCAATCTGTGGTGGGTGGAGAAAACTCCAAACCCACACGGGCTCATTTGTGCTTGATTTGTGTATTAAATGCACCAATGCAAAAATGGGAAGGGCAGTGCAACTCATTCATACCACAGATTTTACTGCATTCACAGAGGATGCATGTGTGTGAGCCTTACCTGACGGCTCATCGGAGGCAGGTACCACACGCTGCAGACGATGGCCCAGCTACTCATCATCCTGAGCAGATAATTCACCATCCCAAACTTACTGCTGTTCCAGAAGGCTTCCCCAAACCGAGGGTCATACTAGAAAAACACAAAGAGATGCAAATGAAATACAATGCAACCATCACCACAATGCTGACAAAAAACAAGGTCTTTTTTTTCCCCATTTTCCATAATCATTATTTTTTTTCCCGTAAACACACCCAAATATTCTTAAAACAAGAAAAAAAATTGTAATAAGTAAAACATGTTTTCAGATAACATTTCTTGAATTAAGTTTATATGGTTTATATTTTTTTATTTGTCTAAATGTTTAAGTTATATATAAAACTTTTAAAACTCTAAACGTAGACCAAAAAAACAACAACAACAACAACAAAACACAACAAAAAAATATATTGCATTAAAAAGCATGTAATGTATTTCAAATGTAGGTCCAATTTTTTCTTTAAGCACATTTTTTTGCAAGCTAATACAAAACAAAAATAATGCCAGATCTATTCTCTGAAAATAAGTCTTATAGTATCTTATAATATAATTATAATAATATCTTTTACATCTTTAAATTCTCAAGGAATCTTGTTTTAAGGATGTTTAGATGTTACTGCTGACAAATGCTGATTAGGACATTAACATCCATCCATTTACCATAAGAGCTGATAAAGTAAGAGAAGATGTATTTCAACCTTTGAAAGCAGCTTCACAGCTCAGAACAAGAGTGAAATCATACAGTCTACCAGCTGCAGCGTTAAAGGGGTCATGAACCGAGAAACCAAAATTTTGATATATAAGAGGTCATTGTACCATAAAAAACATCCTGTAAGTTTCAGAACTCAAAACTTTCCCATTAGTCTAAAAACAACTTATATTTAAGGCAGTCTGCCAAAACAACAGCTTTTGGAATGTGACTAACGACTATTTTTATTTCGATTAATCTATCGGCTAATTTGTCGATTAATCGGTTCATCTAAACTATTAATTTCCTACAAAAAATCAACAATTTTACTTAAGAATATTTTATTAAACTATATTTTATTAAACCCACATTTCTATGAAATCCTCTTTTTAAAGCAAAAGTAAAGTGCATCCATCTCATAATCCAAATCACTGAAATCAATAATTTTTTTGTGGTAATAAAGATAGATGTAAGTGAACAATAGCCTTTAAAATTACTTAAAATACATATATAATATCACTGAGGCAATAATAATTAGTTCAAATAAAGTATGAAAAGAAAGAATTCATATCATTTTATTGTTTTATAAACAATAGAGCTAATGTACATTACGCATTACAACAAAGGCCTGCAGAGGGCGCCAACGGTCTGATGATTATTTTTACACATTGCTGTGCGATCTAATGCTTGTTTAATATTGACCAAGCACCATTTAATTCAAATGTCCACTTAATCTTTAATATTTGGCCATTTAATTAGGACAGAAATGCTATAGCCACTGTAATTAAAAGAATATGTGGACATCAAAACGCGTAAACTCAGAGTGAGGGTTTGAGCTTTTATTTTGAAACCGCGATGTATTCTCCTGAGTTTGCATAGATTTATAAATTATTTACCTTACAAATCTGATGAAATGGCGCAAGTTGCTTTCCCAGATGAACGTTAATATAAACCCAAACTCACAACAACATGCAGAGATGGAGTTTGAGATGCTCCACACATGTAAATGATATCAGTTCCTGTGGAACTACTGTGAACGGAGCCGCTGTGTGACGCATGTACTTAACCTACACGCATGTAAATAATTAAAGCGCATATACTGTATTAGAACGGCATCGCATATAATTATTTAGCCAATTAAATCGTAGTGTTTGTGAATTCACAATTATGCTTAATTATGGTTTAATATATCATGCAGCCTTGGGAAACAGTCTAATCATGTGTTTTATGGATTCTATGTTTTATGAAATGCGCCACTTCCGGTATTTTGCCGGTTAGTCGACGCGAGCAAAATGAAGTCGAGGATTTTTAAAAAATCGAATAGTCGAATAAAATCGACGAATCGCGACAGCCCTAAATGTGACACTCTATGATGTAATAATGTGGATAAACACTGTCTCTGCAGAAGATCAATGCCTGCTTCTACATCACTGTCTATTTAGCCCTGCCCACCAATTCTCACACGTAGTGTAAATTAGAGCCCTGCATTTCTGACTTTTTTACGCCCCTTGGGCCGGGCTTCGGGCCAATTTTCACATCATAGTTAAGACGCGGGCCGGGCCTCAGGCCTGTTTTAGGCTTCTCCTTATTTTTATATTTTAGACATCCATCAATTAGTGATGGAAAAAAATTGCCGCGCTGGTGGAAACAACACGAGACCGTGCTACTGCGACTGTCAAGAGCGGCTCGACGGTGTTTAGTGTCCCGCAGCAGCAGAGCGAGCATGCCGTCAGCGCAGCTGAAGAGATCTGCGTTCAAATGCACGCAATAGGCTAAAGCTTGCCGCAAAGCCCAGGCAAAAGTAATTACCGTGAATGTGTCAGGGGGAAATAGCCTAGTAAGGAAATATTTGAATTATTTACTAAAAAACTAGTGTTTTCTGAGTCGGTGTCGCAAGGATGAAGTTCCTGATCCTGACTCGCCATCTCCTCATTAGACGCGCCTTTAGAGAGAAGTGCATCTTTATGGATTATGATTATGATTATAATGAAAGAGTTTTTGTTTTTGATTGTTCGATTGTTTATTTTATTTCGTTAAGTAATTTAAAGCTTTCTACAGATATATTTATCATGTCTGTGAGGCATGTATTCGCTGAGTTTCGGTTCTTTTTTGTGAAGCGCTCCTGTTCAAGACCGAGACGGCAGAAAGCGCATCATGTTTGTTTTCTTTATTTTATAAAGGCACAACGTTTTGTTGATATTGTGAGTGCACACAAATAAAAGTAGACCCTTTACAGTTCCGAATGATGTATTACTCTTACCTTTATGAGTAAAAATGACGGCGTATCCACTGAAAAAAATGCAAGTGATCGCGCTGGCGCCTCTATGTCCTGCAAAGCGCGCTTCAGCTTCCACTCTCCGAACAAACTATTGGATACAGCGCACATTTATCTAGGTTTAACGTTTAAACATTGTTACCGTTTTAGATCTATAGATTTTATTTTAGGCAAGTCATGATGATTTGAGAAGGCAAAATTTATCAAACAGACTATGATCAACTCACTGTCTGCCGCTGGCCGCTTGGTCGTTACTTTAAAAAACAAAAAGCTTATATTTAACTAACTAAAAATGCTCCAAACATTTTTTCTAAATTAACTTAATAAAAACGAAACGAAATAAAATTACTTTGCCATTACATACAAAACTGAACTATTTTAATAGCTGAAACAGTAGTATAAGCTGTTTTGGGAGAAGGGGGAAAAAAAGACAGGCTCGGGTCGGACTCGAGCCAAGAATTCTGATGAGCTGTCAGACAAGGGCCGGGCTAGGGCCTGAGCGTCTCAGGCCAGGGCCAGGGCCGGGCTAGGGCCTAAATTTGAGGCCCGTGCAGGGCTCTAGCCTAGCGTAAATAACAAGAGGCAAACGCAGAAAACAAACGATAACGATGGCTCCGAATACAACAAGATGCTGTGCAGTGCCAAGTTGTGGAAAAACAGGGTTTGCGTTGCCTTCCTTCTGATCCAAACGTTAGGAAAGAGTGAATGAACTTTATTTTTAATGAAGATCCAGACCGCGTCAGTAAGAACTTAGAGAAAAGAAATAGCACACATCAACTCAATATGTCTCACAGTTTTATAGTGTGGTCCAAAAATCTACATTAAAGACCACATTAAAAATCTGGGATTTTTTTCTCTCATTTAAACTTGGAAAAAACATTTTAGTATTTTGAAAACTGTAAAACAACGAAATTTGACAAAAAAATTCAAAAATATTTCTTCGTTATTTTAAGATTTTGTGTAGAAGTAAGTTTATGCAATATTTTTATATGCAATAAACAGATCCAACATGATCATCAGGACTGACACAAAAGCTCTTTCAGCTTGAAAGCTGCTGTTGTTAAAGCAAAAGAGGGCAAACCAAATATTAGGACAATCATTCATAGTCATTTTTTAATTCAAATCATTATGCTGATAATGTAATTCGTAAAAAAGCAGTGTTTTCATTAGTGGTCTCAGACTACAATGTTTATCATTTTGGTATTATTTATGATCATAGCATGAGCATTACAAGACAAGTTGTGCACCAATATTTCATACTTATGTTCAAGGTTTGTTCGCATCCCTTACCCAGAGTATTCATTAGAGAAGTGAGATTTCTGACCTTTATGGCGACGGGGTAGACAGTTGAGGCAATTTCAAAGCTTCCTTTCTTGAACATCATGACTGACGTATTATTAATGCAGGTACCTGAAGACAAATTACATGATACACACATGAAACAAACATAATACCATATTAACAACCAGTTCACAACACCTCTTCCATGTTGGTTACTATAACTTTATATACATATATAAATTAGTGGAGAAACTGTAAAAGGTCAATTGTCATTTATTCAATCACAAACAAGCAAGCAAGCTTTTCAATTACATTACTTCTCTGCCTGTGATCAACAACTGTGATTAGCTCGCTTTGTGAGAAAAAAAATTAACAAACACTGATTTTGAATTATGGATGTCCAGTATTTGTTGTCTGCTGTCTAAAGTTATAATGCCTTTAAATTTAAAAATATATACACCACCGTTTAAGTTTGGGGTCAGTAGGTAAAATAAATAAATAAATTATCACGGCTTCCACAAAAATATTAAGCAGCACAACACTTCTCAAAATTGAAAATAATAAAGAATCTGAAGACAAGACACTGAAGATTAGAGTACTGGCTGCTGATATAAAAATATTTTCAAATAAAAATAAAAAAACTGTTATTGTAAATTGTAATTATATTTCACAGCATTACTGATTTTACTGTATTTTTGAACAATAATATGAAATTTTAATTATTAAAAATAAATGCAGCCTTGATGTCCATAAGAGACTTCTTTCAAAAACATTAAAAATCTTACTGGCCCCAAACATTTTAATGGTAGTGGATGAAGGAAAGGAGATGAAGGAGGTATCCTCTAGTCTCCCTTTCATATTAATAATAATTTCTGAGAATGAGTTCAGCTCACCTTCGGGGAATATGAGGATGGGCAGTTTGCGTTTGTCTTTTACGTGATCGTTCAACCTGAAATACAATTCATTTAATTAATGACAATAATGCATATGAGTGTTATAAAAAACACAATTCAGCGAGATATTTGAACTAATAATGTTACAAGCAATATTTTTAGAGGAATCCAGCACTTCTGTTCAAAAGCCACAGAAATAAGACATGCTGTAAGGTTGTGTCACCTTTTAGCCACTAGATGGCGATCTTTGCCTTCTGAGCGCTCGAACCAAATGTGCGGACAAGCTTTCACCATAGACTTCTGAATGAGCCCCATCAGGCCCCCATGGATCTGACCCACCTATAACACACGCATGCAATTAACCCTTTCAGAGCTTCTTTCTCACACACACCAACTACAGTTCCAGTCAAGAAACACACACACACACACTTACCATTGCATAGCATCCGTCACTGGCCAGTATAATGATGTCAATGGGTGACGTGTGGTTGGCGACACAGATGCCTCCATTCTTGGGTTTATTTTCACTGTCCCAGACAAAGAGACAGAGAGAAGATTGTGAGCGGAGAGTGTAAATAGTGGCAGGAGAAGCAGAGCAATGTGAGTTTATGGTAAACAGGCCAAATCTAATGAAAGAGTTTGGGCTGACATGCAACAGTTTTTAGTAGTGTCTTCTTCATGCTATTTTGTTGACACAAAACCCTGAATGTCCCTGTGAAAGTAACCAGTTTGACTTGTCAAGGGAGAGGTCCTGAGAGAAAGACTTTTCTTCTTTTCTTTATTCTTATCATATTTTGGGAGGAAGATAAAAGAAGATAGAGAGAGAATGCACAGGAGGACTGTGACCTGAAATACCACATGATCACATTAAGGCGAAAGCTGAGATAATGACAATTCAGTTGAAGATGGTTCATCTGACCTGACACTGAAAAACCAAGCCGCTGTTACCTATTGGGTGTTATGACGTCTGACCCCACTCTCTCTATCAGATAACATTAGCATCTAAAAGTGCCTGATGCACCATTGATACAGAACCTGCTAGAGTTAAAGGGTTAGTTCACCCAAAAATGAAATTCTGTCATTAATTACTCACCCTCATGTCGTTCCAAACCCGTAAGACCTTCGCTCATCCTCAGAACACAAATTAAGATATTTTTGATGAATTCCGAGAGCTCTCTGACCCTCCATAGACAGCAAGGATCCTAACACGATCAAGGCTCAGAAACGTAAGCAAGGACATCGTTAAAATAATCCTTGTGACATCAGGGGTTCAACTGTAATATTACGAAGCTACGAGAATACTTCTTGTACGCAAAGAATTTGTCTCCTCCGCATCACCCTATAGCGCCATTTTGGAGAGTATCACATACGTAAACAACATATGCAACGTATGTGCACGGATATGTTGTTTACATTCAAAGCTTAAACAGCGTATCTGCGTACGGTCCTACTGCTACAGAACAGCATACGTTGTTTACATATGTGATATTCTCCAAAATGGCGCTATAGGGTGACGAGGAGGTGACGAATTGTTGAATAAAGTCGTTATTTTTGTTTTCTCTGCGCACAAAAAGTATTCTCGTAGCTTCGTAAAATTACAGTTGAACCCCTGATGTCACATGGATTATTTTAACGATGTCCTGGCTACGTTTCTGGACTTGATCGTGGTAAGACCCTTGCTGTCTATGTCTATGGTGTCACTTAATTTGTGTTCTGAGGATGAACGGAGGTCTTACGGGTTTCAAACGACATGAGGGTGAGTAATTCATGACAGAATTTTCATTTTTGGGTGAACTATCCCTTTAATATTCTCAATCACCAGCTCTCATTCACTGTAACTGCATTGAAAAGAGTGACTAGTACATTCTTCAGAATGCTTTCTTGAGTTTGTGAGCATGTGATTTTAAATGCATGATTTAAGTGTGCAATATGCATGATTGTGATGGTGTGAGATTGTAAGCATGAGTGACTGTTAGTGTGAATGTTAGAATGTGCATTAGTTTGTGTAATTGTGCGACTGGCTGATTAAGAAAGTGTGTGTGATTGTGTGTGTATATGACTGACTGATTGTTAGTGTCTGATTGTTGGAGTGACTGAGCATGTGATTGTGTGCATGTGTGCGATTCTGAACGTATATGTGTATGTTTCTGTGATTGTGAGCTACCGATTGAGAGTATGTGTGTGATTGTATGTGTTTACGTGAGTGTTTGATTGTGAGCTTGTGAATGTGTGTGTGATGTTTGTTGATTGTTAAAGTCTGATTGTGAGTGTGTATGTGAATGCTTGTGTGATTGAGAGCATCTAATTGTGAGAGTATGTGTGACTGTGAATATATGTGAGCATGTGATTGTAAGCCTGATTGTGAAAGTATGCGTGTGATTGTGTGTGTATGTAAGTGTTTGCATGATTGTGAGAATCTCATTGTGAAAGTGATGGTGAGCATGTTATTGTGGGTGTCTGTGTGTGATTGTGAGAATCTTATTGTGATTGTGCATGTTATGTGAGTGTTTGTGTGATTGTGAGAATGTGTGGGTAATTGTGAATATATGCGAGCATATGATTGTGAGCATATATGTGATTGTGAGCCTAATTGTGAGAGTATGTGTGTGATTGTATGATTCTGAGAATTTCATTGTGAGACTGATGGTGAGCATGTCATTGTGAGCATCTGATTGTGATAGTATGCTTGTGATTGTGCATGTATGTGAATGTTTGATTGTGAACATCTTATTGAGAGCGTATTTGTGGGATTGTGTGCATGAAAGTGATTATGAGTGTCTGATTGTGAGAGAGATTGTGGGCATGTTATTGTGAGTGTCCTTGTGTGATTGTGAGCATCTGATTGTGATAGTATGCTTGTGATTGTGCATGTATGTGAATGTTTGATTTGTGAACATGATTGTGAGAGAGATTGTGAGCATGTGATTGAGAATGCGAGTGTTTGATTGTGATTATTCTAAATGAATATTTATGTCTGTGACTACATGCATGTGGATGCTAATGTGAGTGTGAGCATCTGATAGTGAGAGCTTGTATGTGTGATTGTGAACGTGCGATTTCAGATTGCACAATGACCCAAAATGCCAAGGCTTCAGATGTTTGGAAATTTCCAGTAAGCGTGCGTATGTTCTTCCACACATCTGTGACGCTTCTTACCTGTGATGGTATGTGATGATAGCAGTCAGTGCTCTCACACAAATACGGTAACACATCAGGTGCACTTTCTCACTGAGAAAATGTTTCACCCTGCAAACACACACAGCGACACGTTAACATCCATTAATGGCTTCACAGATATGTTGGTTCAGCACTAGTTTAAGATAAAATCATATCATTTTTTTTTATTTAACGAATTTTCCTACCTCCCATTGGGCAGAAAACCAATCATGGTGGTGAAGACAACCAATAGGCTCACTCCTGTGATTGCTAATGTTAACCTGATAAACCAAAAACAAGGCATTTCAGCTCAAACACTGGAACAATCTTTACAAAATGTACCCTTTAAACTATTTTTAATTTAAAAGTGCACAGTAAGTTTTGTTTGCATTTTTCTGGATTTGTGAAACATATGTGAGGATGTGACCTACTCTATGTAGAATATTCAGAGTATTCATCTCATATGAATGTATATCATTTTAATATTTCATCATTCGATTTCAAATTATTTGTATTTTTTATTTGTAGCACTTTTTTTAGTTGGCAATAAATTACTAAGTGCACCTTTAATATAAAAAGTCAAGTTTTTACTTTTGAGCCTTTGACTGGAGATACAAAGATAGAACAGGATATTAATGAAATTAAATAGAGAGAATGTAATATGTTACAGGCCAAATATAAACCTACATAGCTATATGATCACCACAGCTCCAAGAGCACGCACTCCCCACCGCACCACAGCTCTGACTCAATGTATGCTGCTGAAAAATGTAAGCAATGACACTGGGCATTTAGGTTTCTGTCCATGATTCAATTAATCCCACAATACCCAGGTGAGAACATCTGATTAAACAGAGCTCAGCTATCAGGCGCTCTTCCTCATTTCAAATATGCACACGGGATGGTGAGGAGTTTCTATTAAAGAATGTGGGTTAAGGCCACGACCCTGACTGACATTAATCCTACACAAGCTCCATATGGCCCCGAGGGGGCATCAGAATTAGCCTGTATTTTAAGACGCTAAATTCAGACTTGTGTGCCAGAACAGAGCAAGTGTCTCAGGGTGGGCCAGTTAGAATGATGTCAAATTATAATGTCAGCCAATCAGAAATAAGGGTTATTATTTATTTAACACTCTAATTGGCAGCTGAATGTTACAAGAGCTGCTTTTTTCTACTCTGTCATATGACATACAGGGGCCCCTGTAAGTATTATAAGGGATGAGAATTTAATGTATAAATGTACCCAACAATGAACCATGTACTGTATCTATGCTGGATTGTTTTATCACAGACATGTAAATGAGAGCAACAGTAGTTCTCTCTGCTCCTTTCTTCATGAAGCAACGGTTTCTAATTTGAATACTCTGTGCTATGTCCCCAACAAAAAAAACACCCAGGAAGTAATACCATAATTTGAGACCCTAGACCACAAAACCAGTCATAGCTAGCACAGGTATATTTGTAGCAATACAATGTACGGGTCAAAATTATCGGTCAATATTACAAAAATAATACAATATTTTTCTTTTATGTCAAAAATCATTAGGATTTTAAGTAAAGATCATGTTCCATTAAGATATTTTGTAAATTTCCTACCGTAAATATAACAAAACATAATTTTTGATTAGTAAAATGCATTGCTAAGAACTTCATTTGGAGGAGCTTTAAAGGTGATTTTCTCAATATTTAGATTTTTTTGCACCCTCAGATTCCAGGTTTTCAAATAGTTGTATCTCGGCGAAATATTGTCCTCTCCAAACAAACCATACATCAATGGAAAGCTTATTTATTCAGTTATTCATAAAAATTGACCAGATTATGACTGGTTTTGTGGTCCAGGGTCACATTTGTTACATATCGTTGTGTTACTTTGTACGCCAAGGTACTTCAAAGATTACCAATGCACTACCATGGTACATGTCAAAAAACATAAAATTACCATATGTATTAAAAAGCCATGGTAGTACCACAGTGCATTTCAGCACTTGTTAGTTGTTAGCAGTGGCCTCATTTCTCATTGTCTTTTTCATTTTAGCATACTTCTCTTCTAATCTTCACATCAGTGTAGATTCCAATCTTCCACATCCGTCACCACCACTGCTCATTGCGTCCTAAACTGCCATTCGGCGGTGAAGCCACTGGAAGTGTTCAAGCGGCCATCTTACTATTCCCTACCAGCAGAGGGCCTCATTGACTGACAGCCAAAACACTGACCTAAAATCCCCCGATTTAAATCATATCGGTCACACAGGATTAGTTTTTATGTTATGTGTATGTAAATTAATTGTTACTTCAGATGTTATCTACAATGCTTATATCTGTTCGGGCAGGTTAAGGGATATATTGAAATCGTTTAGGTGGGCGTGTCTGCTGTGCTCTGCCGACACAGGTAACATCCAACACAAAATATATTTCTTGATGTACGTAATTATGAAAGAAATTTTGAAATGCATATGTTGAGGATCTTGTCCATCTGATGTTTATCATGTTCATCAGATGTACGGTACTGTAATAACTATGATACGTAACTTTTTATATGGAGAGGAAATGGCCGACATTAAACAAATAACCATTTGCATGCCGTTGCCGTTTACGTTTACGTTGTAAGAATGTACAGGGATTCTTCAGATATAAAAACTCTGACTCGTTAGGTGATGTTTAGTCATTAAAATCATATGATTTCCTATTCATTTCAAAAGAATGTATGGGAATTCCAATATGGCGGCTTCACTTTTATGACGTCATGAGCAATCCAGTTCTCTATTATAGATCAGTGGTTACCACCCAAAATAAGAGATTTAAAAAAAAATGTTTGTATCCGTTATTATTGGATAAAGTATATCTGCCAATACTCAGGATTTAATTGCAATACTCATTTCTCCTATGTTTACATTTATTTGACCTCCTAACGCTTACTAAAGTAATTAGTGAAATAATTTTATAACATTTTTAAATGTAATCTTCAGCAAATCTCAAAATGAATATCCATTTCTCATACTGTACATCACAATGATGTGACACCTAAATTCACTAGTAGCATTTAAAATGACTGATTTTAGTTTTTAATATTTTTTATTTATTAAGACAAAATAGTACAGAATTGTAATATCAGCCATTTATGGGTTATTGGTCATAAAATGTATTCGTATCAGCCAGATTTTTAATATCAGCGCCGTTTAATCTAGAACTCCATTTTCCTTCTTCCTCACCTGAGGGGCAGCAGGAACCCATAACGGATGACAACGCCGAGACCCCACAGCACCGTCAGTCTGGTGCTAATGTGCTGGAAGTTATAGTTGCTCCTGGTCAGCAAGTTCCACGACTCAAGCTCCTCTGCCGTGAAACGTTTGGTAACCTCGTCGTCTACGATGCTTTCAATCCCACGGCGGCAGAAGTAGAAGGTGTCTGACACTTCAAACTCTGATGTGGAAGGGGAGGGGCCTGTGATGGTGGAGGAGGCGGAGCCATCCAAATCTCGGCTGCTGCCGTTTCGCCGAATCTCTTTGAGCTCCTCTTCCAGCGATGTAGGTTCTTTAGCAATAATGCCTGAGATTAAGTAATACATACAATATCAAAACCCTGAAGAAATAATATCTTTAATATGCAACCGAATTAACAGACATCGCCAGTAATTGTTGCCTGAAAATAAAACACCTCAGTTCACATCACGTGAGATTGACTGAGCACTTGGGAAACGCCAAAACAAGCAATGCCACATGCAGATGAGAACACAGCAGGAGTAATAGATCATTATCCCATAGGTTTACACAGCCACTGACACACGTACCATTAAGACTGTAAGGCTTGTACAGTAGATGGTTCTTCTCCTTGGCTCCTCTTTCCATCCTCACTGTGGCCCACTGGAAAACAAAGAAAAACAAACTCAATTTAAATTGCCACTGCAACATCCTAGTAATGTTTACTATTGTAAGAATGATCATGATTTGAAAAAAGTATTATCTAAATATTTATGTATACAAATGTATTAAATAATTTAATTCATATTTAACATTCGGATTATGCATGAAATAAACAATTAATGGCGGGGAAATATCTTCATTCTTCTTTTTAATTCAAAGTTGCTGCGGTGATGACATATTTGTAGGCCAATGCAGAAGTTAGCAACAATCTGGTTGCCTCTACAAAAACCCAATAGGGTTTTCCATTGGTTTTTGGATTATTGCAGAAAATAAGCTCTGTGACCAACTAAAGTTTATGATTCTTACATGTTTTGTTCATCATGCTTTGTTGAAGCCTATATACAGCGGAAGTAAAAACCACTCACATGATTTCAACATCACCACCATAAAGCTTTCGAAAGTCTTTATTTTAAAAAAGAAATGTTCCTTGACAGTTTGAGTGAAGCAAAAGAACGATTAAAAAACCCCATTCAAAAACCTACTGACTTCAGGACAATGGAACTGGAAGTGCTAAAATGCTACAGGAACTTGTTTCCGGGTTTTGGCCTACAAAAAAAATGTAATCCCTGCAGCACAGTATTACAATTCTAATGTACAGTCAGTCAGTGGACTGTAGCACAAACACACACAGACACTCATACATATTGAATATTCCCCTAGGGAACAACAAGCGCTTTATTGAAAAGCTGTGGGAGGAAGGAATAATGTCAGTATGTTAATTCAGGCATGTGGAGCACACAATGCACACAATTGACTTGCTGCACTGAGAATCGGAAAACACTGAAAGGCTGCTATTGATATCTTGACAAATTAACACAGGTTTTGCTTTAACTTCAATGCCTCAATGTTGGCCTATTAATTTGTCTTATTTCACTAAAATCATTTCATCTAAACCAGGGATTCTTCTAATCTGTAATAAGAGTACTTTGAGATTTTTCATAATTTTGTCCCTGGAGATTATGGTACAGTAAAACTTCGCAATCCTAAATGTGCAGCTCAAACTGCAGAGCTGTAGGTGCTACACACAGTCAGGAATAGCACTTTTTAAGCATTTTACTTATGTTTTACTCTAATTTTTAGGAACAAGATAAACTTTATTGCTTCCCCATGACTAGGTTGGCCAAGCTGAATGTTGTTTAACACCCAAACAACATGACGTTTAACTAGAATTTCTCCTTTATTTCAAGAAATTCTCTTGTTTGTTGTTGGAAAAAATTTGTTTTCAGAAATTTCAGGCAGCAGGACTAGAGTCTCACACACACGTCTGCTCATGCTGTGCGAATGAACACACGGTTACATAACAGCTTCAGACGGATGTGAGGTCATGCTGAAATAAATCAGCCACAGCTGGAGAGGAGCAGCCCCTCAGCTCTTCACTCCACCTCCATTCCTGTCTCTCAACTCCATGATTATAATATGGGGGGAAACAGTGCCATTAAAGGAAGCAAATTATGCATTTTCTAGAAACGGTCAACAGATGTGCATTTGATCAACACGTCCTCCTCATCCAGATCTCATTTCTTGTACCTGGCCTATTAGGCTCTTACGTACACAGAAGCTGTGTTTATATTTAGATCCTAACAGGTTTTGGACCAATAGAAATGCAAACAGTGCACTCAATAGAAATGCAAACAGTGCACTCAGTGTTCAATAACCTCCCAACTCCATCCACATCTTATCAGATGGCCACAATAATATAACATTATGAATATGTAAAACCTGTCAGTGTGCTCTGGAAGCACATGAGAAGTTCACATTGCTAAGTGCACTCCATAAATAAAAAAAGTATCAAAATGCACCATGTTAGTACCATAATGTTTTGGACAAGGTACTGTGATAATACCATGTTTTTTGAACATGTATTATGACAGTGCCCTAGTATTATTTGATAAACCTTAGAATGCCATATAAATACCATGGCACATGAATAAGGATGCACAATATTGTTATCATATCAGCTATCTAATGATTCTGGTAAACATTACATTTTTTACGCTGCAAGCCCTCCGGATGCTCCTTCGTCGAATCCACCGGCCGCGCCGTTCTCAAGCCCGCCCGCCTCTGCGCTCACTCTAGCCCGCCGTGTCTCGTCGCTCCGGTCGGACAGGGCATCACAATATGGTAAGGGCCGTAACATTTCCGTCACACGCTTGAGGTATTCGGCCAATCACAACGCACTGGATAGCTGGCCAATCACAGCACACCTCGCTTTTCAGACCGATGAGCTTTGTAAACATCTACGCGTTCCAGAAAGGCGGGGCATAGAGGAGGAACAATAATGTACAGTATGTGGAAAATAATGTGTTTTTTTAACCTTAAACCGCATAAACACATTTCATTACACCAAATACACAAAATAATGTTCTTTTTAGCAACATCATATGACCCCGTTAATGTTTACATTTCGATTTTAAAACTTACAATTTTTTTTTAAATGCAAATAATTTAATAACAGTTTAATGTAATATTTTGCAAATATCATAACGGATACATACATTTTTCTTACTGTACATTACAATGTTGCGATGCCTAAATTCATTTATCGCATTTAAAACAACTGATTTAATTTGACTGAACGATTGGTTATTCATCTCTCTCACTCCAACCTTCCTGTCAACTCTATGCTATTCAGTAAACAAATGCAAGGCCACAAATAAATCAGTCTGAACAACAGCATCCTGAAAGAGAGCAAGATGACCTTCAACTCACCTTAAACACCTTGAGCAGCGTCTTCATGTAGAGGCCGCGGATACCGAAGGACAGACCGAAAATGGCAGGAACAATGATGAAGACCAAGAGCAGTGTGAACCAGACAGTGAAAGAGATGCCCAACAGCATGCACAGCAGATTATTGAAAGGAGACATAAAAGGGCCCATTTTTACAAAATGAAAAAGTGGTTTGTTTTTATGAAGAAAATAAATAAACTGGGAAAGAAAAGTGGACACCCCAAAAAGGCAGCTTTCTCCGGCAATTTTTAGGGTCAAAGTCTCCAGAGCATGAGGTGGAATGGGTCCATAAATAAGACAGGTGACATTATAAAGTCTTTCATTTCCATTGGCGCATGACTGGATGAAGCAAACACATCATTCTGCGTGTGGCACTGCCCAGAGGTGATTTACTTCGCATTTAATGATGCATATTCTTCAACACTGGCAATTCAGATGACTGTAGGCTCAGAACTTGACAGCTCTTCCCTCAGAACCCTGAAATAAAGAAACCTGGAGAATGTGGAGGAAACACAAACAGGAAAGGATTACAATTCACTCAAGTACAGGCTTATTCAAATCAAACCGATAGTGACTGAACACACCAAAGTAAACGCAACAGGTTGATCACAAAGACAAACAGAGTGGCCTGGAGCTACACTGGGACCTCAAACAAGGACACGTTTGAGTCATAGAGCTCCCACGAGTACAGTGGTGGGAGACACACTTACATAACAGAGAAGAGAAGAGAAGAGAAGAGAAGAGAAGAGAAGA